GAACTGTCAAAAGGTTTTTTTTTTCAGATAATAAAAACCAAATGACAACAGAACTAGACTACTACACCTGTATTTAATATTTATTCTCTCAAAAGTTAGAAGCAGCATAGCCTCCTTTCACTCTTCAACACCCTTCCCCCAAATTTCCTACAACTTTTGTATTTGAATTAAAAGGAAGTTTTCTTAGGACTATGTTCAGTTATTTAAGAGTACAGAACTGATATAGTCAGTTAGTTCTACTAAGCATATAATTAGTCACATGGGGGCTCGAATAATGCAGAGTTATAAATCATGAAAATCAGGAGTCCAAAATTTGGGGTGGAAACATATTATCAAACCTATCAAAACCAATGTAAACAAGAAGTCAGTGGAATGACACCTTTAAAGCATTAAAAGGAAAAACTGAATTTTAGTGGTTGCTCTAGAATTCGCAGTATACATTTACATCTACATCCACTATCAAGTAACACTTTATGGACTGCATTTCATGGGGAGTACAAGCACTTTATAATGGTATTCTAAGTACATAATAACGGTATTCCAAATTCCTCCCTCTTTTCTCTTATAACATTGCTATCATTAATTTCACTTTCCATAAACTATAATCACCCAATACATCATTTCTATTAAATTTTGAAGTTATCTATTATTATCTATTATTATTATTTCTTATCAAGAATAAGAAAATAATAGGTTTTATTTTACCTTCACTTACTCCTTCTCTAATGCTCTTCCTTTCTTGATGTGGATCCAAGTTTCTGACCTATATCATTCCTTTTCTCTGAAGATCTTTTAACATCTCTTGTAAGGCAAGTAACACTTCTTACTGGAAATAAATTCCTTTCATTTTTATTTGCCTGAGAAAGTTTTTATTTCTCCTTCACTTTTAAAGGATAATTTCTATGTGTTCAGAATTTTAGGTTGGTGATTTTTTTCTTTCTACTCTAACACTGCACTCTCTTTTTGCTTGCATAGTTTGTGGAGAGAAATCCAATGTAATTCTTAGCTTTCTTCTTGTATTGGTAAGGTGTTTTTTCCCTTCTACCTTCTTTCAAGATTTTCTCTTTGTCTCTGGTTTTCTGCAATTTGAAAATGATATGCCTAGGTGTAGATTTGGTATTTATCATATTTGGTGTCCTCTGAGCTTCCTGGATTGGTGGTTCTATGTCCGTCAATAATTTTGGAAAATTATCAGCCATCATTACTTCAAATATTTCTTTTGTTCTTTCCTCTCTTTTCCTTTGGATGAGACCATCAAAGGCATTCTTCATTTCTGTTATAGTATTTTTGATGTCTAGTATTTCCTTTAAATTCTTTTTTTTGACCATGCAACAACTTCATTTATTATGTATAGGGTTTTAAAAAATTATTTCTGCAATGTCTCCATACACAGGCAAAAATAAGTGAATTGTTTAGCATACTGGAACTTGCAAACCTGATCACAGTCTAGAGAAGAGAAAATTATCCCTACAGCATGCTTAACCAGGAGGTCAGTTCATCTGCCACCTCCAAGAACATGGAGATGAACATAATAGAAAGACTGTCCCCACCCCCATGGTGTTCATTCACCACCATTCGATAACCCTTCTTCAGGCCCAAAACAGCAGCACATTTCATGACAACAACCATTAAATTTCCAAGAAGACCTTCATCATCATCTTCTGCTGCAGAAATCTGGCATATAAGTTTCTTGGGTATCACCAGAAAACATGTTGATGCTTGAGGGGAAATGTTATGGAAAGCAAGACACTAGTCTTCCTCAAAAATGATTTTGGCTGGAATTTCCTTCCAAATGATCTTCCCAAAGATTGTGTTGCTACCAGGCCAAGTGGCCTGAGCCTTGGCGATCTCATCTGCCATTGTGGCCTCCCTCTTGTGTGGCTGGCTGGGAAGAAGCTCTCCTTTTGATTCTTGCTTAGAGCTTCCAACTCTTTGCTGACATCACCCATCAGTTCTTGCATGTTATCCACTCTTCCCATTAGAGCTTGACTAGGAGTTATGCTCTACTCATAGTAGCTAAAGGTATGAGAGGTTAAAATTTCCTCTAATGTCCTTATTTCTATCTCTCCTGTTGTCTTTTTGAGCTTCCCCAGAATCTCCTTAAATAGAATGCAAGTCTTGCAATTTTTTTCATCTGTAATACTCTATTACTATACAGGAACCCACTGATGTTGTGGTAAGATGCTGGTGGAGGGAAAAGTGTTCTGTAATCTTATGGTTAGATACAAGTCTTTTAGTGACCTTAATGCCTGGCTGTGGTCTTCACAAGTGCCTCTTGCCCCTTTTTCCCCTTAGATGAGACAGCAAGGCTAGAGGGGGCTGGAGTTGGGTATTTCCCTTCCCCCAGGTTGTTCAGACTCTGGTAGTTTCCCCACTTTGGGCAGGAGGAGAACAGATTGCCATGAGCATACTTCAAAATGGTTACTATTCCACTTCCTCTGCTAAAAGCATAAGAGGATTCTACCCCCACCCCCCCAACCCCATCTTCACTGTGAGAACCTGGTAGAGCTTGTGAAAGAAAAACTCAAAAAGTGCAGGAAACTTTTCCCTAAAACTGGGCCCCCGGGTAATTTTTAATTCTCAAGCTAATCCACACTCAGCTTCTGGAAGTTCATCAGTTATAGGTAAAGTTATCCTGCCAGATCCTGGCTCCTCAGTTTCTGCTCCTGGTAAGCTGTAATTCTTTGTATTTGTCTGTCTCTTCAGTTTTCAGGGTATTGGTTTACTCTGTGATCTCAACTGTCTTATGGATCTAAGAAGAGTAGTTGGTTTTTAGTTTGTTCTACTTTGCTCTGGTTTTGGGGACAAGAGTGACAGCCTCTAATTTTTTTCATTAGTGGAAACCAGAACTCATGTCATTTTAACATGTTCCCATCATTCCTTGAACACTTTCTTATTTTCTGGAACAATAATATGCTACATAGTTCATTTTGTACCATGGAATCAGCTGTCTTTCAAAGGTATATCTAGTGAGGTAATCAGGTTTATTTAGCGAATGTTATTTAGAAATCAAGATTCAGATGTAAAGTGTGCTCATTGCTATTGCTATGGCAATGTCGTTAATTCTAGAATGTCTAAGCAAACAGAGCTAGGAAAGTTACATATTTATACACATACACACACAGCTACATTTATTTCCTTCCCTTCCTTCCTTTGTCCCCCACCCTTTCTCTCTCTCTCCCCCTTTTCTTCTCTCCCTCCCTCCTTTCCTCTTTCCCCACCCAATCTACCAACCTACCTATCTTTCTCTGTATAGTAAAATCTGAGTTCATACTGATA